TATTTCATTTTGTACTGAAGTATTATTGTGAAATAGTAATTTAGAATGTTGTAAATGGAGTGAGTCGTGACCTATCTTAAAGTGCTGCACTAGCATCTGCTTAGAGAAAACTGAGTCCAGTCATGAAAAGAGCTTAATCAAAATAGAAAGTTTCCTGTGTCCCCTGAATATGAACCCAAAGGCTAACAATACAACTGTGAGGTCAATTTGAACTACAAGTGAAGGCGGGTTAAGGTGTGAGTTTATTATAACTGATACAAACACATAAACAAACTCAGTGGCTTGATTCCTCAAGCGAACTATACCGACCGAGCGACCGCCGCTTTTCGGCGAAGTTAGTGGCTAGAGCGTGTCGCGCTGTCAGCGCAACGAATCCCCATGGATGTTAATCTCTGTTTTCTAGACCGAAACCGCTATTTCCTTGAAATAGCTACTCAATTATCATTATGAGGCTGAGTGGACCCACTACTTCCCAGAAAATTTTGTAGCGCCGGGAATCGAACCCGGACCTCAGGCTCTGTAGCCAGGAACTCTGACCATTAGTCCACAGATTGAAATAGATAACTAGTGGAATATCCTTTTAAAACTTCTACTGTAAAATTTGAAAATCTTCGTCTTCCATAGATAACCTTTCTATCAAAGTCAACGTCAGAGTTAATTTATGGCTGGAGGTTTACCGTCAATCAAGTCGTTTTGGTGCTAAGCCCCTTGAGACTCAAGACCAGAACTTTTTGCAACTGAACCCTTGAGGTAATAGTCCTTATGTAACATCCACTCTGACGAGGAGATGGGCACTCTTCCATCGATCCAATCTAGAACAATGTAAACCCTAGAGGAATGTTTTCAAATCATGATTGCACTCAATATGCACGATATTAACGATTTTGTCTCAGGCCAAGAATGTATTGCCGAGTGCTACATAGCTACTATTCACTGCTATCCCCTTATGATATTATTCTGTATTATTATTGGTTATAACGCCTTGCATTCCGGTAGAATTTCGCTCATATTTCGAAAGACTTAATTTCCTCCATCTTCAGGCTCTCCTTGTTTCGGATTTCTTGCTTGATTTGTTCTTCCATGAAGATGGAGACGATAAATTCCTCTGTAGCATGGATGAACTACCGAATTACACGGTGTTACAGAATAGAAGATCTCAACGCTTCAGGGTCGCCATTGTGGAAGCTTATTCCCACATACTACACAAACATGTAATAAATCATAAGCCATATCCCACACAACATACGTGTACATAAGAGAGAGTAGCGAATTCATGTGGTAGAGATAGAAGAAAGCATCTCCAAAGTAAAGCCATCTGGCTGTATAATAACAACTAGGTAAAGATATTGTCACGTGACTGTGATTAGAAAAAGGGTTCGGATTAGTAACCGGATTAATTCAACACTTAGGGGCGCTCCATAGCTCAAGCGGTTAGTCGCTGGCTTCCCACCGCGGCGGCCCGGGTTCGATCCCGGGTCTGATCAAGTGGGATTTGGGGCGGACAAAATGGCGCTGGGGCTGGTTTTCTCCGAGAATTCCTGTTTCCCCTGCCAATCTTCATTCCACCAATTGCTCCACAATCACCCTCACCTATCATCTGGGACTGGTACAATAGGCCAGAAGTGGCCGCAGTACAAGGGACTCAGTCCCACCACACTCGCAATAAAAAATGCTTGGTTAGGAATACAAACTTGGCTCGTCCTTGTGAACTTTCCCCCGGACTTCTCGTACTTCCTCCCCCTTGGGTGTATTCCGTGGACATGTATGCTCATTTTCTTCCATAATTATCAAACCAATCTGGACACATGGACTAGAATTATGGGGCTGATCAACTAAATCAAATGTTGCAATCATACAAAGATCTCAATCCAAGATACTCCGTCAAATTGTTAATGCTCCCTGGTACGTAACAAATCATACACTACATACAGATCTACAGGTACCAACCGTGCAGGAAGCAATACGCAAGAAAGCCATCACACATCATAACTCCATAGAAAACCACCCCAATCAGCTCATGGAACAACTCCTGGAATCAGTAAGCAACAAAAGACTCAAAAAACTGTGGCCAAGTGAACTACTCTTAAGTTAATGTATAGATACTAATTATAGATTATACAGGTGATTTCGCTGGATATCAACCTGTTCACGCCACTAGTCATTAGTATAGCTAATGAGTAATCAGCACTTTAGCTTATAGAATTGTGTAATATTCTGATTGCTAAATTCTAAAATAAAATAAAAATAAAAAAAAATTCTTCCATTAAGAAGAGAAACAAATTTCCTACCTTGTATAAACCAACATAGGTATAGTTACTGGGTATTTCTGTCTTTAAAATTTTGGGTATCGCATGAGAGATCTCAGATTCTGAAGAATTAATTAATGAATTCAATTCTTGCCTGTTAGTGGCAATCCCAAAATTAAATTAGTCCTACAGCAGGTAAAGCTATTCCTGGAACAGGCCGTGGAGTCCCATAGGATTTCTGAGACGTCGAGGCTCCCACATGTTTTAGACTTTCGGCTCACAGATGGCGGTGAGGTTGTCAGCCTTACTCTCCGGCCGCCCTTTACCCCCCAGGAAGATTCCTGGTACTCATTTATGCTAGAGACTGAGTCGATCCCAGGGCAATAATGTGGCTGGAAGGATTAGGTGATTTGAAATATCCAATGACCTATAGGGAATTGAACAAGTGCCCTTCCGGCTGCACAGAATTAGAGGTAATTAGGGAAGTAGATTCCAACATCTTTCAACCACATTTTAAACCATTACTTTAAGTACTCGTAAAAAGAAAAAAAAACAGCTTCTTTTTGTGAAACATATCAATTTGCAGGGAAATATACATAGCTATATTTTGTATTTCTATAATTTCTTTGAGCGGCTTCTAAGAAATGTTCCCTTTCATAAGCCGTCTTCCTATTCAATAATCCACATCTGACCGTCCATCTGTCTGTCCGTAGCACCCTGTTTCTTCCAAACTTCGCATTGTAGAAGAAATACTAAACGCAAGAAAGAGAACATAGAGCAATTCATAACTATAGCTGCATTTTTTAATGCTAGTGGGGTGGGACTAAGTCCCTTGTACTGCGGCCACTTCTGGCCTATTGTACCGGCCCCAGATGATAGGTGAGGGTGATTGTGGAGCAATTGGTGGAATGAAGATTGGCAGGGGAAACCGAAGTACTCGGAGAAAACCTGCCCCAGCGCCACAACCACAAATTCCACTTGACCAGACCCGGGATCGAACCCGGGCCGCCGCGGTGGGAAGCCAACTATGACGCGGCCCAACTCAAACACTACAAAGATAAGAGAGAAAGAGATATCCCGTAGAAACAGTTAATTTTACTGTTGTATGCAGGGGTTCGAATCCAAGTTGATTTTGCGTCCGTCTGTACTCATATTTTACGGTGACCATGCTAATAAGACGGGTTTACGATAGATTACGGCTGATGTTTTTATATTTTTGTTTCAAGACAACTCAGTTGTGTGTCTCTAGCATTTAAGAAAAGTGTACTACAATTTTATGTACGTGGCATTTAAAAGACAGGCTGTTTTATTGCGGATTTAAAGGTAAAGATAAAGTTGTCCCTGTACTTAACTAATTAAGCACTATACCACGAAGAAGTATGGGGGAGTGGATGTATAGATCCTCATTTTCTTGACCTCAGCACTAGTTGAAGGTGAGTGGTCAGCTTAACGCCCAGGCCACTTTAATCTCGGGGGAAAAGCCTCAAGCACCCGTTGAATAGGAGGCTGGGTGGGCCTCAGAGTCGGTATGGACGACATGGAGAAAATTCTTGATCCTACCGGGACTCGAACTCCGACCTCTCGCCTTCCAGTCCGTAGCCAGTAACTATATCGAGTGCGCTATCCCGGGTTCACTTGATAAGGGTGTGCAATTCCCTGTATAGGGCCTATCTCATGAGAATTGTGATCTGGAAATCACAAAAAGTTATATTTGTTTGCGTCCGAGTACCTGCAGTTGGAGACGGTGAATAAAACGAGTAAAAGAAAAGAAGTTTCTGGAGCTACGGCGCAGATACTTGAACTGAAGTGAACTGTTATCACCGAGCAAGACGACTCAAGCAGTAGCGCTTCTGACTTGGACTCAGTAAGAGCCCCGTTGGAAACTTGTTCGGCATATCAGCGATTGTGAGGATCTTCGTGGTTTCACCCAGTCCCTCTAGGCGAATTCAGGGTTGACACCTTACGTCATGCCACGACCGCTTATAACTTTCGATTCATTAATACCCACTGATTCGAAACTATATACAACGATATTATTATCATTATTATTGTGATTAAAAGGTGAATTTGTTTCTGTGCTTAATTAATAAAGCACCACTTCATGAAGACTTATTTGGGAGTGTGTATATGCCATGAAGACGTGGGGGATTTGAGGTATAGCTCCAGAAATGTATAATTCAGCACTAGAAGTATGTAACTGGCGAGCTTCACGCCCCGGCCGCTTTATATCATGGGGAAAGAGCCCCTTCCCCACTCTAATTGTTTTTATTATTATTATTATTATTATTATTATTATTATTA